AAAGAGAAAAATGAAAAAAAAAATGAATAAATTAGACTGATCTTCCTGTCCCAAATTTGCACCCTGCAGAAAGATGAAAGTGAAACAAATATCATAAACATGTGAAATCATAAGGTACCATATTCTAACATGGATGTACAATAGAAAAATAATTACACAACTCACCTTATTGAGTATGGCCTTGATGTTATTGTCATGAAGACTCATACTTTAGTTAATAAATAAGAAATCAAAGAATTAAATGACCTAAACATTACACCTGCAAACACAAAAACTATCTTATCAATATGCAGTATTTATAATAATAGCATCATTTATAACTTCAATTAAAGATATGAAAAATTTAAATCTACCTGCTTGTTTCGCAGATAAGGTCTCAAAACATTAGATGGAACTGAAATATGCAAATCCTTCTTTGTCACATGAAATTTAAATGGCCATATCCATATGAGTATGATGGCAGCAGCTCTTCAACTTCATCCCGAGAGCTCGAGTAATTCGACTTCAAACCAGTCGACTCGACTTCTGCTAAGAATAAACCGTAAACCGGTCTATGATCCGAAAACCTCGACTCACCTCGAACATATGATAGTTGTCGAAGACCATAACCGTGCCACAATATACGATCACACCTTCACGAAATACAATATGAAAAAACATCCTTAATTTTTTTTCGACATTCTTAAAATTAAGGTAGGCCTCGAATATAGCTGATAATAAATAAAGTTTACCATGCGGGAGTTCTTCGTTTTTCTCTAGGATGCATATTCTCGCCGGCATATCTGTCTGAATTGTTCGAATATTTGTATGTGGGAGGAAAATATATCCTTCCTTCACTCCAACCGGCAAAAACTCGACCGTGCCTTTGCTCAATTCTCAACTGTTTTGGAAAGAACAAAATCAGAGTTGTGTAGATTGAGCAAAGTGCAAAGTATATAAAATCCAATGAAGTGATAAACTTCATTTTCAGTTTGTTAATTTGCCTGATCATTCTCTAGTAAAGTTCTCCAATTTCGCATCTCGACTAGAGCCTTCGCGCATCGATAGGAAAGGGCGATCCGGTAGTTTAAGTCCCCGAGCCATATGATTCGACTGGAGGCCAAACACAAACCAGATTCTTTTAATCTTTTTTTTTTTTTTTTTTTTTTTTNGATAAACATTTCAAAAGAGAATGTGCTATATGTAAAATACAGGCAAAACTTCATTTTTAGTCCATTATATTTGTCATTTTCCAGCAAAAATCTACCTTTTTTGAAATTATGTACTAAGTTTGATGTCTGCCAAAAAGATGGACTTTTGCCGGAAAATGATCAATATAGTGGATTAAAAATGAAATTATGTCTGAAATGAAATGAAATACAGGACAATCTACATACTCATGATCAAGAATCGTGCAAGGTGAGACCCTATCGTGAACTTGTGGGAACCTCGTTTTCTTCAGAATCTCCATCACATCCGAGTTTCTTCTCAGCTCGTCACCTTCTTTCTCCCCCGACGTCAAATGACTACAAACGAAGCAAAAGCTCGTCTTCTGTAAACACATGCTTATCGATATTGCACCCTGTATTGAAACATCACATAATATAACCCACTTTTATGCAATCTAACCAAAATTTATGAAGCCGCGCTTTTCGCAAAAATAGTAACATGGAATAGACAAAACACAAAACACACCTTATTACCAAGATAACCCATTAAGCCTCTACCGACACAAGACACGCTCAGATCGCCAACATTTTCCCTCAAATCACTCCTTATCCACACCATCAAAAACAGCCCTACCATTTGCTTGCTCGTCACTAAACAGTATCTCGAGAAAGAATGGCCGAAGGAGACAGGTGGCGGCGAATTACAATCACTCCCGACAAAATTAACTTCTTCTTCTTCTTCTTCTTCATCAGAGGAATAACATTTATTATAATAATAATCATCACCCAACCCAAAAATCGTTCCATCAGAGGAAGCTGTAATAATAATTCCTCTGCTATCCTTCATTCGGCTCATTGAGCGCGAAGAATGGCAGCTCGTGAACTCGTTTTCCGAGAAAGTAGTGTTGAGTGTTTTTCTGACAAGGGCTTGCCATTTTCTTGCAGGGCCGTTATCTTCTGCGCAGAGGACATTCCCCGCGTTTAACGGGACAATTTCTTGAAATCTGGTAAAGTTTAATAATGTAATAAGAAGATATGCAATTTCTTTTTCCAGCATTAAAAGGAAGACAGTTTTGGACTTTAAGGAATATTTGACATTTGATAAACATGACTTGTTATGATAATTTCAATATCGAAACATAATTCGCATAAAGAATTTTAGAAAATTAACTTACCCAAGGACATAAATATCAGCTGGAGGTGAAGTGTGAAGCCACTCCTCGAGTTTCAAATGGCTCGGAGGGGATTTCCCGCCGACATTCCATGTTGCCACGAAAATCCTACTCGATAATATAAAGTATGTATCAATCATCATATATATAAATTGGTTTTTATTCGGGATATTATATTACTTGCCGTGTTCTAGTGAGTTAATGTAGAATCTAAAATGAATTAAAGTAGAACGTAAATACACACAAACACACACCTGTAATTTTGAACCTCTGTAGTTTGAGATGAATCGAGTTTAGGATTATTTTGTGTCTCATGATCACGAATTCGATGTCTTATCTTCTCTGTAATCGAAAGTTGGCCGAATGAAATGAATAATAACGATCAAAGTCTTGAACTACACTATAAGAGCCAAAAGGTTTGTTTAATTGATTTTTAACCTTTTTTGCTTTTCTTGATGTTATTGCATGCCTCTCTTTGTGCATGATTAATGTTATTGCATTCTTCATCAGAACCTGAAATAAGAACAAATGAAACACAAAGAAAGATAGTAAACAAGTTAATAAGCACTGAAAAAGTATTTAAAGATGTGCCAATTACTTTTCACTACAGAACACTTGCATTTTTTTCAACACAAAGCAATAAAAGAGTGAAATTTATCAAATTCATCAAGAAAATGATATTTTTCAATCTGATAAAAAACCATCAAGAACTCCAAAGAGAGAAAAAAATAAAAAGAAAAAGAATCCCATTTTTTCTTATTATGCATAAATTAGACGAGATATGCGTTTATAGAGATCGAACTACCTTCATAAATGTTGCCATCAGTGCAAAAATCCCCATCTTTGCTCTGGATTTTAAACCATTTCTTCACTATTGTCTTAGGCCATGAAAGCTTTAATAGTAATATACATATATATATATAAAAGAAAAAAAAAAGTCATAAACCTTGAAGCAAAACATATCAGCAATGCAAATCTTTTATCATTAAAAAAAACAATCATACAAACCTTGCTTTTCTTTGAGTTTCCATCCCTCATTGTCTCCACAACTTCATACATAAATTTTCAAAACAAGGCCAAAATAAAAGCTCCCCCTTTAGAGTTTATGGTACAAATTAATCAACAAACAAAAAATAGAAAATGATTCCTAGTAAAATTGAAAAAATAAAAATAAAAATTAAACACGCCTTTGACCAGAAGGCATAAACTAGGGATAAAAATGAAACAATAATCCAAAATGCGAGTACTAGTTCGGTCTGAGTTTCTATAATAATAAAAACCGTTTTAACTACTAAAAGTATAAGTTGGATTTTGAAGGTAGAAATAGGAAGATCCTTATTAAATAAAGAAATTAAAGGCTGTTTGCAAGTGAGCTCTATTCCCAGAACACCTCGTGTGTTTTCATTACTGTAATAAAAAGAATTGAACGAATTTTTAAAGAAAACGCAAAGCACAAATGAATGAATTTCTCGAGGCCTTTTTTGGCTCGAAACCATGGCGGACTTTGACTCAAATTATGTTTGCTCGGATTTTTATTTTATTTTATTTATTATTATTAGTTAAAAACTGCCCGCGCGGTCAGGTGAAGAGGTAAATTACATTCATTTTGGTATTAGCTAGTGTGTTGCCCGTGCGATACACGAGAAAACAATATTACGATATAAATTAAATATATAAATAACATTAATCATAATTTATTTATTGTTTTTAAATTAAATCAGGATTAACCGAGAACCGGTTTATAACCAGTCTAGTTCGCTTGAATAAAATATTTGCTCTCGAATCCGTCAACACCAGTCGGTTGGACTGGTAGAATCGATACGATTTTTAAATAAATATTGTTATATTTAAAGTTATTTTAAATCAAATTTCATATTTAAATAAAATAGAGATTTATAAATTATTTATCAATTAGTTTAAACATTTGAATTTATAAATTGTTTAGATATCTAAGTAACACATTTTATTTAAATTTATTACAAAAAGTAATCTAAGTAACACATTTTATTTAAATTTATTACAAAAAGTACAACATATATGTATATTAAAATGTTTATAAATTAAAATCTAAACAAATCTGCAAATGATTTAATAAAATAGTTTGATCGTTTTGATGACGGTCCAATTATGAAAACCTTATATTTACTGTACATTAATAAATATTATAATAAAATATTATTTAATTCACATAAATATTAATAAAATGATATATAAATATTCATAAATTATTAAACATGTTGTCATAAAAGTATTGTTAATACGATTATTTGAAGTTTGGACTACATCACATTCACGTAATAAAATATTTTCAATATAAAATTTATATTTAGGTTCAATAATCGATTTGGTGTGATCGAACTGATACATAACTTAGTCATCTGGGATCAACCAAGGTGTGTCAAGTTTTTTGACTATTTTAAAATCACCTAAAAGTAATTCAATCAACCTGGGCAGTACCCTAATTCAATCATCCTATTGATATCGAAGAAATTTTCTTATTTTGTTTAAATATATTTAATTTTATGAAATAAAAATATTTTATGATTCCTATAATAAATGTCTACACCAAATGATAGTATATTAAGATTATAAATTATATATCTAAAATGAATTAATTATTTTTACTTTATGCATAGTAATAAAAAATAAACATAGTAATTTTCAAAAAATTAAGATGAATTGATTGATTATGCAATTTAAAGAATATTTTTAGCGTTCAATATTTTTTTTAAAGGCACAAATATAAAGATCGAGATTCTAAAACTTTTGTTAAATTTTGAATTGAGATTTTATTAATATAGAGACCGAGATTTTAATATTGTTCACTTAGGGTATGATAATCTTAGTCGGATTTTTTAAATAATAAAATAAACTAAAGCCCGAAATTTAAGGTAGCATTAATGTTATATGATTTTTAAAGAATAAAATAATAAAAATAATAAAAATTACTATTTATAAGCTGCATTAAATTCTGACCTATTTTTTTATTACTATTTTTAGTAAATGGTAATTCTTATTATATATATATATAGATATATATATATATATATATATATATAGATAAGTATTTTCCTAATAAAATTTTAAAGCTTATGTTGGGCAAAACTCCTAAACAATTTTTCAATTTATCCCATTTTTTATTGTGGAAGGAACACGAGTTTAAATTACTTGAATGCTATTTACAATCATGGATTTTGGGTTGGAAAATGCGGCAAGTCTAAAAAGTTCCTACCTTTTTTGTGTACTTAATTTTAATCAGAACAACAATATGTTTGGCTGACGAGCAATTTAGAAATACTTCTTTGGTCAATTTGGACTGTGTGTCTTTAGACCTCTAGTCAATGAAGCCAAGTTTAAGGAACTTTTGTTTGGGATAATTCCATTCGCAACAAAACATTTGAGCTAATTCGTGGGTTAATGCTTCTTTTCGGGCTTTGAGCATTCTTTATTCAAGAAAGTGCTTCAAATTTAATAACTCAATAGGATAAGTAGATATGCCCACCGGGTAGGGGCAATTCGAAAGCCCAACGGGTCAAACACTGGACCCGTGTAATACGAGTTGATTTTGGTTCAAGGAAAAACAATTTTTTACACGATGGGTTCGAGATTATCAGGAAATAACTAGACCCGTCAGGTTTACCATTGTATTTGAAATTTTAAAATCAAATATTAATTCTTTTAGCTTGTTGGACCTAAATTGGGTTAGATTTGAAACTGGAGGGTCGACTTAGGTTTCCAACAACTAGAGTTTTGATATTGTTTGTTAAATTTTGTAGTCGCTGCAAGACCAATAATCAAGGTTCGAACTTGGTGGACCAAAATAGAACTGACGGTTTCGAACTGATATCAAACATGGTATTTCCAAAACCAAAATTGTCAAACAGTCGACTGGTTGTAGGCATCTAGGGTTTAGGACAAACTTCAAGAGAAATATGAGTACATTTAGACCTGTAAATGAATCGAGCCGAGCTCGAGCCCTTAACTAGTCGAGCCGAGCTCCGCTCGTTAAATAGATGAGCTAGAAATCAAGCTCGAGCTCGATTCGTTTATCACTATTAACGAGCCGAGTTTGAGCCTTAACAAGCCGATCTCCAGTTTTAACGTGTCGAACTATAGAAAATTATGTAAAAATTCTCTTTTTGAGCTTTATCGGCTCGACTCGTTAACCAAACGAGCTTTAAATGAGCTCGAGTTCGGCTCGGCAGCCTCGAGCTCGAGCTTTAACCAATCAAGCCGAGACTAGTCAGATTGGTTTAATTTAACAATACTAAGTGAATCTATAGGCTTAGAAATTTAGCGCATGACTAGAAGCATTAAAGGAGCTTTTCACAAAATGGACTCTTGTCAAAATGTTTACTTATGCCCAAAGGTAGGTAAAGTGACTTAGTGAGTGACAAAAATATATCATAATGGATGTTACTTATAATTAGGTTGGCTTAGAACAACAAAAATCTGAAAACGATGAAATTTTCGTTTTCTCACCATGGACTTTTTCTGAACAAATTGGATATAATTACTAAAAAAATAACAATTTTCAGGTTTTGTTTAAGGCATCACAAGTACATGATTAGTTATAATTAAATCTCTAGAGGCTTATATTAATGGAGTTGACTGCGAATCTTCTTTATAATCCATGGACATTTAGATCCAAATCCACCAATTAAAAATCTGTAGCGAACCGCAAGCCGACCCACTGAAGCTTCCACGAGCAATAAAATGATTTTTTTTATTTCTCAATAATAATATTTAAGATTCCCCTAATTCCACCAGCTGTCTATCGTTCAAATTAATTAAATATTCTCGTTCTTTAACTGATAGCGTACTAAGAGCATCTCCAATACTATAAGTATGAAAGACCATTATTTTTAACACATGTGATTGTAATGTTAATCCATATTGGAATAATATTAAAAGACTAAAAATTTCAATGAAACTAGTATCTCCAATGCATCAATTTGATAAGAAGTTATTTGTATAGGTGGACCAATTAAATAATTCATTGATATAAAAAAAATAAAAAATTGATGAGTCATCATGTTTAACATGGTGTTAAATATTAGAAAGTGTGCTCAACATTGTCAACATTAAATGACATCCACCTCATCATGAAAGAGTTCATGACAAGATGCATTGGAGAAAAAAATGGAGACACACTTTCAAAAGTTGATGATATGGATGACTTTTTATAATGTCAAAAGTTGCATTGGAGATGCTCTAAGAATACCTAATTGTAATGATAGATTTGAACAGCGGATAAGTAGTAATTATTGTAATACAGATTGTCAACATGTAAGATTGATGTGTAAGATAGACAAAGACAGAGTAGAAGAGGATAAGAGGGAAGAGATACGCCGTTAAAACCCTCATCTTATTCATTCACATGAGCCCTATATATAAGGGAATACAATGTACATGACTACAGACCTAATGGGCTACTGGCCCATACCTACAAAACATATATTTAGGTAATGTCCACAAATTAATATTTACAACACTCCCCCTTGGACATTATCGCATCAGGTCTATGCCTCGTTAAAAACTTCGCTACAAAACTCAGTGGAAAAAAGTAGTCGAGGTAAAGAGTTCATGACATATGCAATTTTATGTGTTACACTTGCTGCCTTGTTAAAAACTTTACCAAGTAAAACCCAATGGGAAAAAACTTAGCTAAGGAAAAAAAAAAGTACAACACCGACCAACAGGGCCTAATTTTCAGGATTACAATTAGCCTTCCAGGCTCGATCTTCAGGATTTATTTATCGCTCCCCCTGAAGCCAAGAGCCTTTCAAGTTACATTTATAAATGTTTGTTGCTCCCCCTCAAGGTAAGAGTATCTACATAAAATCATCAATGGTTGCTCTTCCGGAGTTAATATGGATTCAAAAATATCATCAAATGTATTTCCATAATTTATTTGTGTAACACAAACTAAGTTTTTTTTTTTTTTCCCAACGAAAGAAACATATATATTATAGCTCAAAGAAAGTAGAACGGGATAACCAACTGATTATAATCCAAACGGGGAAATCAATCAATGTTTCCCCTCAAGAGCCAACTTG